TATGTAAAAGATTAGTAGTAGTAGTTGAATCATTACGGTCGGAATGTGTATTTACTGATGACAACGTATTGAATACCGGTTCTCGTAGCTCTCGAGTGAACTGAATTCCATTTTGCCTATTCACTGAGCTCGGCACTTTTGTTGTCAACGTTTCATCACACCAGTCCAGGGGGATATCATTAGTGAGTGCTTTTGAAGTGACTGGTGCGATGACACGTTTGCAACAAAATTGACATGCTCGGCAAGCAGGCAAAATGGAATGCGTATTTACTGTTTTTCAGCCCGATATTTCCCGGGTTACTAATGTAATTTTCTCACGGCTTTTATTCTTCACTGTAATATGTAGTTGAATGCCGAGTGCGGATTGTTTACACGATATATTCGAATCGTATTTTTGTTGCTGTAAGGTGAAACACAACTTGCGATTTTAGCAGCCGCTGATCACCAATTGAAAAAACCCGCACAGAAGAGTCTTGTCCAAATCATTGTACAAACAAAAGAACTAAATTACGAGGCAACAATGAGTGGCATAGGTTTGCGAAGGGAACAAAATTGATCCTCCTTTCCCCGGAGACTCCTTTCAACCGGCGTTCGCACTAACTTACCGACAATGGAAATTCGAGACCCCGTAATGGGGATGGGAATCTCGTTCTTGATCCAGATCACTCGCGGTGTCGGTGTCCCGCTCACATCACAATCCAGTCGGGCAATGTCACCCACGGCTGCTGTGGTCGGTTTGGGTGCCACGTGGATCACTGGATACCCTTCGGGAACATCTGTAGAAGTGGGATAGAGGTATATCGTGACAATGAAAAATTGGAGCAGTTGTGAAATCTAAGTAACGAATATTCGTAAGGGTGTTGGACCACACCTATTCTAACCGAATTGCCTCTAACTGATTTGTGAAAGCTTGATTATGATGGCTAAAATTATAATCCAAGAAAAATGCGATTTATCTGGCAATAGCTGCAAACTAGGGGTTGAAATTTAGAGATTGTGAATTGACATTAACAACCAGCTACCCATATGTGCCGATATCGAAATGTAAGAGAAAGGCCACAGTGAAAGCGGATAGTTCAACGAAATCAAACAAATTAAATAACAGATGCAAAGGAAGATCATTGGCTCAAGGAGTATTGACTAATCACTATTTGCGTTTTACTTTGTTAACATTCTTCATGATTTACTCGAATTTAATTGGTCCATAATACCGCCGTCAAGTTTATGGTACAGACAGTGTATAGCGTATAGCTCTCAAACTGGTGGAGAGTTGCAAAATCACGAGATCATAACAGTCGACCTGTTCCAGTCAAGTATCACACTTGAACCCGAAACTTTTTGCTGGTCATCAACGTTCTCCAATCACCGTTTGCAGCTGGTCGCAGATAAACGTCTGTGCATGACCCGCCGTCATCTCCATTCACGATTAGTTGTCTCGGAGAACACAAAATGGTAAAAAAACGAAAAATGGCCCTTCATCATGCGCCGTGATGTAAAGATACAGATTGTGTTACTAGCCCATCCAATGTACTTTTCCATTCTCCATAACTTCGAACCACCGCACGTTCAATTTCATCATTTGGGACCTGATCACGCTGGGCTATTTCCAATATTTTTTTCACGATAAAATTTAACAGGACCAGATGGAGAGCAGTCCGAACGACTATCGCGTTGTGCATCTACAGAGGCCATGTTGCTTAACTAACTGTTTTGTTAAGTGACTAACTGCAAAAGTTGTCGATCCAAGACTGATTACAACGGTATTTCATACAACGATCCACCTACTTTCCCGACACCTTATCAGTATCCGTGTTGGACTATTTGTTATTCGGTGTCTGGTAAAGCATTCTCCCCTCGCTCCCATCCTGTCTCTCTCGATCACTTCATTATGATGCGTACACAGTCTGTCGGTATTCGATGCCTGTCAAAAGACAGTGAGGCAGTTAAACCGGTGTGGGAATAAACCGAGCCAGGAGACAAAAAACAACAGAGAAAATCCCTCACAACACTTTGCTGACGCGTATACCAATTCCGGATCACGTCGAACTGTCCGAATGGCGAGGTAAGGTGGAGTGGAGTGGTGAGAACTATCACGTTGTTGTGACTGAGGATGATGCGTTGACAGGCACACCGGTAACTCGGTCATGATTGTTGCCCTATCCGGTTGCGTGATTAAATCTGCGGTACGAATGTAATCCAAGCCATCACAGCAGCAATAACAGTAGCAGAAGCATAAAACTGTCCATGAACAAATCAACG